AACGTACAAAATGCAAAACAACTTCTGAGAGAACGTCGCTGTCTGATTTAAAAAAAATATGTTACCATGCTAATACTAATGGGTAGTTTAAAATGACATATAATGTGAGCTGCACGAGTAATGGAAAGTGTTATTTGAACTTGAGTTAAATACTGTGACAATTTTATTTATTTATTTTTTTTCGTTAGATCTGGGTTTTGCATATTTACCTAGGCCTATTAACTACTAACAATATACGCTTTCAGGGGAAAGCACAAAGAGGAAGGAATAGCGCGTTTCTTTATCAAATGAAACAGGGTGATCCAGTTATTTTCAAATTATGAGAAGAGTTGAGAATAGGCAGCTCTAAATACTGGATGGCAAAGACCTGCCAAAATGGCAGAGCACCAATGAATGTATAAATGAGGCCTAAGGCTAGTTATATGGTAAATAGTATCTGCAGGTTCTTGATTACAAGGCTAGACCAAGTTAATTAATGCCGAAATGATTATTATTTACTATTATTAGGCCTATTATTATTATTCATTATTATTATTAATTATTATGTTATTAAAACCTACCTTAGGAACTTAGACAATGGAGAAATTAGAGAACATTTAAAAAAAAACGACGTTTAAGGGGAAATAGCACAAAAGATATTCCCTTGGGCTAGTTATTAATTATAGGCCTAGTAAATAGGTTATTGATTAAGCCAAGGCTTAGGCCAAGGTAATAATGCTAAAATGATTATTATTATTATTATTATTATTATTATTATTATTATTATTATTATTATTATTATTATTATTATTATTGTTATTATTTAACATTAATTACATTACAGGGATAGTTTGGCCATGTTTAATAACGCCGGAATGGTATATTTTATTTATTACGGTATTATTTAATAATATTTCTCTTATGCATTCTATTTTTTATTTCATGCTTCAATTTTTCCCCCTTTTTTTCAAAATATCAATCAACGTCATGTGAAGCGTGACTGTTGGTGTCAGCCTAGAGACATAGTTAGGCCTAGTTTAGGGAGGGCCTATGGTAGGTAGGACTTAACTCAGCCTGCTTTAGGCCTGTAGTTTATCTTCTTTCTGTCAGCCTTTGGTGTACGTCCTATCTACACTTTATAAGAGGGTATTAGCTGTTGTTTTAAATATTATACTAACATTTAATAACATACAAGAAGGTCACAGTTAGTTACACACATACATCCCATAAATCCGTAAGATTTCATAGGCCTACCGTAGGTAAACATAGAAAGAGCCATAAAAGTAAAACTCGAGCGTCACGACATTGCGAAGTGTCTGCTCTTGTTCCTCGTATCGAACACGAGTCGAGTCAATCCGAGATGGCCCGAGTGAAGTTTGATGCAAATGTTTCGTACGGAAAAAAAAATCGCGTCCGGTCATACGAATCTGCGCTTTTGTGTCTGTCATTTTTATTGTTTTGATTTATTTATACCTACTTGTTTGTGTCTTATGGATAATGGCAACGATTTCAACCTCCAAAAAAGGAGGATATGTTATCACAGTTATGTAACGGTGGCAGAAGTTTTTTAGATCCAGCCGTACGCGGCGCCCCATTGTTTGTATTCCCACCATGCATTTCGGTGAAAAGGTTTTGTTTTTGTGGAGAACTAGCGTTTCTAGTATCTTTGCTATTAGAAAGATAGGCTAAAGCGCTATCCACAAGCAATGTGATATCATATTTAGGTGTCACCATCATGCCCATACTTGGGCACATCACACAAACTTGTTATATAAAAGTTGACAGCGTGAACAGAGCTTAACATAGTGGGAGCAGTTTATACTACTTACTTAAGAAAAACTTCTTCCATGGTTGTGACAGACGCACCGTAACTTGCAATCCCAAAAGATGACTTGTTACTTTCTAACTCTTCAAAAAGTACCTCGAATTTTCCAGATGATTCACTCGGCAGAACGAATGAAATTTCGGAACCAACGTTGCTTTCTAACTCCGCATCAGGAACGTGTTTTTGAATGACGGTTGTCAAGCGATGTACATCACAATCAGACTTCTTCACAATCACCATGTGGTACCCAACACCTGGATGTATGCAAAGACGTATATAAATGTAGCTAACACAATCATCTCATAGTTTCACATCGATGTTTCAATTACAAAAAACCTCACTACTAGAAAATGTGTTAAAATTACCGTAGTTCTTTTTGAGAAATAGTGACGAGCCACAGCACTGAAATTCTCCAGTTGACATAATAGCAATACGGTCACCCAGAAGGTCAGCTTCGTCCATAAAGTGAGTCGTCAGTAGAATGGTGCGTCCTTCCCTATGACGTTGCAACAAATCCCATGTAAATCGTCTCGCATCTGGGTCCATACCTGATGTTGGCTCATCTAACATCACAACCTACCATTGGTAAAGTCATTAGAAATCTATTTTTAACATTACGTTAATTATTATCATTCATTAAAATGCATTACATTGATGAAAACGAGCGTATTCAAATTTTCATGATGATGTTAATTCGGTATATCGGTGGGACGGGGGAAAGAATTGTGTTGATGATAAAGCAATCGTCTTAAAAAGACGACAAATCATTTTATCCTCCATTAGTTGAGCGGTTAAATGTCTCGTATAAGCTGCCTATTAAGTGGTTTCAAATTACCTTGGAGTTTGCAATTAGAGCTATACCGACCGACAGCTTCCTCTTCATACCACCTGAGAGAGACTTGGACAATTGGTTCCGTTTTTCCGACAGACCAGTAGCCTCGATGTAATGATCTACTTCACTTTTCACTTCTTTTGGATCCTTCAGTCCTTTTAACTAGAAAACCGTAATACATTATGAACAGTACTGTTAAACAACAAATCCACCAGTACTAAAATATCAGAGAGAATAAGGCCCAATAAAAAAAACTATTAGTTTATCACCCTCGCGCGCATGCCTTCTATGGTACTGGGGAAAAACAATTTTTTTTTTTTTTTTTTTTTGTAAAAAAAAAAATTGAATTTTTTTTTTTTTAATTTTATTTATTTATTCTTTTTCATTTATTTTATTAAATAGTTAGTAGATATTTTTTGCATTATCTAAATCATGTTTTACTTTGAATATCAATGCACCAGCAAACAACCCAAGGGTAATATTTGGCTTTAGCAAAATAAAAAAAAATAAAAAAAAAAGCCTCCCTCCCTCCCTCATCACTTTTCCTGCCCAGATAGGGTGATAAAATAATCATATTTTTTATAGGGCCTAATAATAACAAAGCCCGACACTCACTGACCCCGACGGTCGTCGGCCGATGGCCCATGACGAACGCAACGCACCGACGTTTTTTTGTAATGACAATACGTTCAGACCGCCACCGACAATCAGCAGACGACGTCGCGTCGTCTGGCACTCACATGAGTGGAGCCGAAGTCCTCGTACGACCGTCGTACGTCGCAGTGAGTGGCCAGCTTTAATATACGTAGAACGAAAAGAAAATAAAACCTTTGCAAAAAATTTCAGATGTTCTTCTACCGTTAGTTCATCAAACAACACATCATGTTGGGGACAGAGGCCGAGGCTTGAGCGTACACCTTCTATTTCTCGTCTGATATCATACCCATTGACGTATGCCCTCCCGCCTGTCGGCTGTATCAGCCCAACCAGCATCGACATCGTAGTTGTCTTTCCTGCACCATTGTGCCCAAGAAGAACTGTTATTTGCCCTTCGTACATATCTAGTGAAATTTCGTTTACTGCTATCTTTTTGCCAAACACCTGTATGAAACCAAGAAATTGTTATTTATGTAAATACTGTACAAGCATTCCAACGATGTCAAATATTATTTTACGTACGTAAATTTATACAATATTAGGGTTTTTTTGGTCATTTTCAATCACAATATAATGATGCTTCTCATTAATTAATCTATCCCCAGATGGTTGGTTTATCTACAGTATGTATTTTACTTATTTATTAATAACTTTAACCAGGATGGCATAATCTTTTTCAGATATATTTTTCATTGTAGCCCAGGGACAATATACCTGCGTGGGGAATAGAAACTAGGCGTACAACAGCGGCAGGGGAGGATCCAGAATTTTCAAACGGGAGGGCACAGCAGTTTCAGAATAATATTATTGATTATGATAGTTATTGCTATAGTTGTTTTTAATGTTGTCGTTATCGTTATCGTCATTTTTTTCCTTGTCGTTGTCGGTGCTAATTTTGCTGCTGCTCTCTCTTGTTCATATATCGTTATATAATAATAATAATAATAATAGTGAACATTTATAATGCGCTAGTATCTATCAAAGATGCTCATGGCGCAAAACAGAAGTCGAGAGAATTGTTAACTGTTTGTAATCTTAACTACGAAAAAAATAATAATAACCGTATCCCAGGTGGGGGAGGCTTCAGAAGTACCTTTGCTTTCCCAAGGCAGAGATAGATACCTATAAGTATATCTTTTATTTATATTGTGACATAGATAAATATGGATAATATGTTTGATATATGATAATAATGCTTCCCTGCTTCGTTTGAAAATTGTCTTTTCTGTTTGGGCTTGCGCAGTTACTTTGATCTTCCTGTGGATGTGTGTGGGGCGACCAGGATGCTAAATGAAATGGTTGTTTATAATTATGTTTTTAAGTTGGTTATTTAGAATAGGCCTATAGAGTATTCAACCAAACCTTCTTCAGATTCCTGAACTGAATTCCCGGATTCAGCCCCCTTGGGTCCGCCTCGAATAATGTTTCGTTCTGGTATTTCTTTTCTTCAAGAGGGTGGTTGTGCTCCCCAGCATGCACGGTCGTTGGCATACCACACCAATATGATTTCTGTAAGATAGTTTGTGTTGTTTCATTAGGTTTACATACACATCACTATCATCATCACCATCATCATCATCAATATTATTTCTTCTTCTACTTTGTAGAATCATATCCTGTTACATATCAAAAATGACGTACCGTGAAGGGGAAATACCAAGGCTGGGGAATCCCGTAATCCCCAGGAAAAACAGCATCAATATACCACGTGAGAAGACCGTAGATGATGGCATCTAGCAACAGCATGTACATGACCCAACTCAAAGGAAAATTATCATCAACCGTTACTGGTTCTCCAATATTATACCATCGAGCTCCTTCACCTGTAAATAAGTCACGTGTTCGTTATACTGTGCAAATGGTTCATAATAACTGTTTTTTAATCACATTTACCGCGATATTGCTGAAAAGGTGTATTTTTTTGTAGATGTAATAAATGGACCTTGCCGCTGTGTGTATATACTGTCTCTTAT